AAATAATTTTAGCATGTGAATTCGATAATAATAAATAAAAAATAACAAAAAAAATATTTACCTCTTCATTATTATAATTTATTTCCAACTACTTGGCTTCGTATTTTTCTTTCAAATATACAAACAACCCTCAATGTCAAATATAACTTGTCTTTCAGGGAAACCGAAGTAAAAAAACACAACACGAGCAGCATATTGATATGATAAAAAAAAAATGAAATTAGTCGGATTCTATAGATTAGGGATTGAAAAAAATGCTAAAGATGTGGTAAATGATTTGTGTAATTGATTACTTATATAGATGTCATAATTATTTGTGTTAAATGTGATATATGGTTCTAATTAAAAAATCATTCAAGATTCGTGATTTTTTCATTCGGCCCGGCTTATTTTAAGATAAAATAATAATGACTCTTTAAAATGAGATATATTTTACTATCTGCTTATATTTTTACTAACATAAAATGAGAAATATTCGAGTCTTTTAAGAATGGTTTTAACTGGATTGTTCCTTAAAATTATGTAAAAAAAAAAATTCAAAAGAATTTTTTGTAAATATAATTGAAAACGATATTGCAATAAGATATAAAATAATTTTTAAGAATGATATATTTTTTGTTATAAGTGAATGTTCTCTAAAATTTGGTAACAACATATTAGCTTTTTTATTATCCGGTGGCATGTGAAATTGAAAGTATTTTACATGTGATTCATTTATTTAGATGTGTAAATATGAATGGTGGATTTATAATTGGTCATATAATATGTAAATCAAAATTTCAGATTACATTTGTGTTAATTTGTGTCATTTTATGCATCTCAATTACAATGACAAAATTTCTATAAAAGAATATTTTGATGTCTGTCTGATTATAGCAGCCCAATGCATTTATGAAAAAAAAATACATTAAGTTTTATTTAATTGATTATACATGGTATTTTAATTATAAATTAGAAAGGGATAAAAGGTTTCGCGGCCAAACGTTTTTTGTAAAGAAAATCTCTCTACTAATTATTAAAATAAATTTCAGATAAACATGGTACGCCAAACTTATTTATAAACTAAGTTCTCGACCAACCAACCAAACTCTAATTTATAAACGACTTGATATATTAATGGATACCTTTACAAATGGAACCGGATTTTAAGCATATTTTGCATAGAAAAATCTGTACCATAAATAATTTGAAATGCCGCAAAAGAGTATACACAATTTATACCATAAATAATTAGCAAATCAGATATATTAAACACGTGGAGATCAAAAATCATTAAAAATTTAAACTTAAATCGGATTATCAAAAGAAGTACCATTTTTATTCAACTTTCCACAAATTATTTTTCCATTAGAGTATACATAATTTATACCACAAATAATTAGCAAATCAGATATATTAAACACGTGGAGATCAAAAACCACTAAAATTTTACACTTAAATCGGATTATCAAAAGAAGTAAGTCAAAGGTTTTTGACCCATTTTTTATTCAAGTTTTCACAAATGATTTTTCCATCAATCTTTTTCAATATATACAGATTTTATATATACTATATTTTTGGAAACATTTAGCAAAAATACTAATTTTTTTAAAAAATTGCACATATACATAAAGGATACACTTTATTATAACTTAGTAACTATTATTTTTCTAAATTTATATTTAGTTGTTTTATAATTTATAACAGTGTTTATATTATCAGATCTTCCGATGGGTACGAATATTTACTATACCAATCATAAAAGTGTAATAAACGTAAAATAAACATCGAGAACGGCAGCGACCGACCTGGGACAAAATCTCATATTTGATTATTCATCTTCTTCCTTGTGTATCTCTCGTGTCCCTTCATGTTCAGCCCACACACCTCAGCTCGACATTTATATGGCGACTTCTAAGCAGCATGCAACCACCCTCGCACTCGCACCTTTAGACAAGTCTGAAGACGTCGCACAACCTCAGCTTTTTTGCTTCTCCTCCGTACAGCGCGCGACCGACAAGATCAGTCCGAGGACATCTGAACCTCTCATATTAAAATATATATATA